AAATTATTTAGAAATTAAAAATAAAGAAATGAAGTTAATGTAAAACAGGGATGTAATATGTTTTTCTTTTTTTTTTTTAATTTTCTTTTTATTATTATTCCTATTCTTGTTGTTATTATTATTTTTAGCTATAAAAAAGGCCTGGCAAGAGTTTGATTTGTTGTATTTTTTTTATTTATTTTTTTTTTATTATTATTATATTTATTATTATTATTATTATTTTTTTTTTAACTCCATTTGAAATTGTCAATGGCATTATATAATTTTTTTCTTGGTTATATTTCTACAATACATTATTATTGTTAAATTAATTTATTTTTTAAATTAAATTTGATTTTATAACACATATTTTTTATCTTATTATAATTTTTATTTTATTTGAATGTATGCAATAAATTTCTACATTTACAATTTACAGAACATTTCCTAGCCGTGCATTATAAAACAAATCGAGAAATCATTCGCAACTATCTTTTTAAAATTCATTTATTTGATTGGCGAACATTTCAAAAGTAATTGAACTCAAATGCATACAGCATGGTAATGTTGTAAAGGTTAAAGCTGGCCCCCGACTAAAGTGTGCAGAGCCGGGCTAGCCACGCCCACCTTGGGCTGAGCTCGTCAAAAACCCCTTGCTCACTGCTAATGGTTGCTGGGGCAATTTGATAATGCGCTGAGTCCACACAGTTTAATTGAGTTGGGGGTGCAGCAGCACAGATGGCAAGCACCGAGCTGGCTAAGCGAGTGAGTGAGTGAGTAGGTAGACTGTCTTAGTGCCCTGGCCAAGAGCTGTCAGGCGAGCAAGGCTAAGGCAACGTTTGCCTGCGCCTAATTGCATTTACGCTAATCCAATAGATTAAGACGCAGCTGGGCTCGTCGACTGTAGCCAGTTGCCTGTTGCCTGTTGCAGCCCAGCTTGTTGACTGTTGCCTTTTGCTGCTGCCTCCACTACAGCTGCTGATGCTGTAATGCAATGCAAAACAATAACAAAATTATGCTACCAGCAGCTGACAAGCTGCCACTCGCATTGAACTTCAAAAGGAGCGAAAACTAAATGAAAATCCTGTCCGTCTTGATATTTGTCTTAACAGTTTCCAGCAAAGTTTTCGTCCGTTGTTTTCTTTTTTCTCTTCTTTTTTATTATTCATACATTTTTGCTTTTAATTTTCTCATTTAATTAGCGTCATGCATAAATTATTAAATGCATATCATCTGGGCTGACTGGCCGCCCATTTTCACCACTCAGCTTCATTCACGGCGCTCGTATTCTCACATTTTGGCCAACTAATTATATGTTGACATGACATTTATTTGACTTGCATAAATTAGCCAATTAGTTGAGTGCCGCAAATGAAGTTGGCTCACAGCTCTCCGCCAGGTGTGTGTAAGTCAAGTATATGAGTGTGTGAGTGTCTGCATATGTGTGTGTAAGTCATAAGTTATACGCTCAAGTCCTAAAGCAGCTTTGACGGAGTTCTACGTTCTGGGGCATAGCCAAAGTTCAAGTTTGTTTTGAATAATTTGCGCGGCTTGAGTTTAGAAGAAGATATATGTATGTATGTATATATATAAAGCTATGTGTACTTGCCACTCCCAATCAGGCAAAGCTTTCTATTTACTATGCCTGCGGAGTTGCACATATTCAACTATTCAGTCTAAATTGCTGTAGATAAAGCAGCTACTTTAAAATTATTAAATTAAATATATAATTAAAAAACCCTAACTGCCAGCTAGAGCAGCTAGGGGATTCACTATAAGTTTATGGCTTATGGTTCAAACAACAATTGATTCTATCGGCCGATTTATCAGTTAATGCTATTTGTTGTTAAGCATTTTTATATTGAAGAATAAATTAAAATCTAAAAACAACATATCAAAAATAATAAATAAATAAAATAAAAAATTCAACAATAAAAAATAAATATAAATAAAATAAATATACATATATAAGTATAATTGCTTAGCTTAAGGGATTCGAGTCATTTAAGTAATTTGGAATATCAGTTTACATTTTATCATTATCGAAATTTAAGCTGCATAATAATAATAAATAAGTAAATATAATTGATTAGTTTTAGTATATTGTCATTTAAATAATTTATTTAAATTTTATTCAATATTTTATATTGAATTTAGATATTAAACAATATTAAATATAAAAAAAATAAAAAAATAAATATAATTTATTAGTTTTAAAAAAATATGCCATTTAAATAGTTGTATTAGTTTTTCATTTACATAACTTAAAATTTTATTACTATCTGAAATTAAGCTACATAATATTTTAATGTAAAAAAATAAATATATATATATATATATATATATATATATATAGAACTATAAATATATAAGAACATTAAGGCACTTAAATAATTTATTGAAATGTTATTCAACTAAGTTTTATTTCTTATTACTATGTAAAATAGAGCTACTTAATGCCATTGTTTCCTTAAATAATTATTATTATTATTTTTTTTTTTTCTATTCTATGTATCTGTATTCTATATACACCAAACACTTCAAACATTTTTCAATAGGCATACACGCCTAAGTTATACCCACTTGGCCCCCACCTATATTATAGCCCATCTCCTCCACTAGGCCTTTTCACATTGCCTGCTTGGCTTGGCTGGCTGTCAACCGTCTGTCATGGCCTGACAAACAAGCTGGCAGTCTTTAACTGATGCGACGCCTACACACGCACACCCACACCCAGACCAACACCCACATCCACACATCTGCACCCACGCACACCCTCGCTCACACATATAAGTCGTTAGCTGGGGCGTTAGCTGGCAAGGTGGATGGCAGCAAACATTTTGGACACAAGTGCAACGCGGCGTATACGCAATGTAGCTGCCACGGCTGAGTGCAATAGCTAAGCGCACAGCCACGCCCACACAATTGCCAGACGACGCTTGTCATCATTAGATTAGAGTGCACACACACACACACACACATACTGAGACAAAAATTAAACTGTTGGGCAACTGCGTTTTGCTTGTCAGGATGTGCGTTAAATTGTAAAACAACACAAAACGATTGGTCTACTGTGGGTGTGGGTGTGGGTGTGGCTGGGGCGGGCTAGGGCTATGGCAGACAGTGTGCAGAGCTGATGGCTCACCTCCTCCCACCCCCTCTGCATCTCACCCTCTCTGTGTTGCTTTTGCTGTCATGCTGTGGCCGGCTTTCGTTTATTTTTGCGTATTAGACGCTGCTATTTTGTGCTTATTGTTTCCCAGCGTCCAACAACAGAGCACAGAACAGCACAGAGCAGAACTGAACGGAGCTGAGAGCAGACCAGTCTCACCACCTGCCCCTCTGTGATGCCTTTGCCAGTGCTCCTCTAAATATGCCACGCCCACCATGCGCCTTGGTGGCAATCCTCAAATTGTTAGCCCTGTTATTTTTCGGTTGTTTGGGCTCTTGGTTGTGTTCGCATTGTCAGCTCATTTGTAATTTTTGCGCAACGATTTCAAATTAAGCAACCGGAAATGAGCTGACATTTTGCCAGTGTTCTGTTGTTGTTGTTGCTGTTGCTGTTATTCTGGCATTGGTTTAACGACGCTTCGAGCTGCATTTAAAGCTGCTCAAAAGCACATTTGCTCTGTTTACATATTGTCCATTATGACAATATTAATATTTACATTCTGCCAGCCATTGTCCTGTCATAGAAACATATCCTTATGCATATGCTACTGTGCGTGTGAATGTCTGTGTTTTTACTGCACACATCTTCACTTCTCTTCTTGTCGCTTGTATTTTGTATTTTCTTGTTTATTATTGCTTCATTCCATGTGGCCTACTCTTTGCACCCACCATCGGCCCCTTGCCGCAATGTGTCAATATGCTTGCCATAATTATGCATCCATCTTTGGATCCTGCATACTTTAAGTTGCTTTCCTTATTGTTCTCAGCATTTCTTGATTAGGCATCTTCTCTCAAGTTTAAGTCGTTTACAAGCCAAGTTATTACTAATTTGTTTATTTACTTTGGTGTCGAGGATTATTAGAATTGATATGTGGATGCTTAAAATGTAATAAAGAGCTAATATGCAACTCAAATGAATTGACGCACTCATACGCAAATACCTAGTTTTGAATTTAGACAAATACCCAATTAAATTTAATCCAAACTCAATCATCTTCAAAGAGCAATCGATTTAAATTGGAAGCAATTTTCCGACAATTCGTAAGAATTGAACTGTAATAAACACACTCTAAGATAATAATTGATTTAATTAATTAATTGATCAATTTAAACGAGCAACAATTGAGTGAAAATTGCATACAAACGTGCTTATTTAAGAATTAAAAAAAAAAAAATGTAATATATATATATATATTATACATATATTATATTTGAGTTGAAAATAAAAAAGTTACACAATAAAATCTAACATAATTTGATTTGGAAATAATTTAATATGATATATTTAATCATTTTATATCTTATGTAATATAGTAGTAAATTAATGATAAATTAATACAGCTCGATAATAAATAATATAGTCAAATTATTTATAACTATAATATATTTAAAGTTTATTTTCTCTTTATTTGGTTTAACCATCATTTTTTCAAAAATGTAATTAACATGCACTCTCGCTGTTAACTTAACAGCTGCTTACACATAAAATTTCCCCAAAAGAAGCACAAATTCGAACTAGAGAGCTTTCGCCAATTTACACTACACAAACCTGACTGCTCTCTCGCACACAGTCACACAGAGTCAGCTGTTGGGACGCTCACCAAGCTATAAGAAATACCAGCACACACGAAGCGCGAGCTGAGTGGCGGCCGACAGTGAAGAGCCATCGGCAACGGCTTTCGTTAAGTGCCGAAGTGAGCGGGCGAGCGTGCGAGCGAACATCGCCAGGCTTCGTGAGAGCAGCACGAAGAGCAGCAATAGGGCGAGACAACAGCGTTGGCAACAGCGGCCCGCTGCCGGCGACTGAGACAGGCAGAGGACGACAGCTTCCTGCTGCTGCTGCTTCAGTTACGTTGATAATGTCAAAACGTTTGGTTCGCTGTGCTGCTGCTGCTCATGCTGTTGCTGCTGTCGCCGCCGCCGATGCTGCTGCTGCTGCCGCTGCTGCTACCAACGACGACGTCGTCAATACGCTAGGACAACAACACGAAAATAACATCAAAACAACAACAACAACAAAACAAACCGATGCACTGGTCGCTCCAGCAGCATAAATAAATAACAATAAACGAACCACAAGCACAACAATTGATAAACAATGCATAAAAAATAATTTATACACCAATAAAGTTTAACAACAAAATGCAGCCAATGGCAAAGTGTCAGAAATTTTGAGAATTAATATTTCACTAGAGATTTGTGTGCCAAAAAGCGAAACATTTTATGTTTTTTTTTCCCACAACTTTTGTGTGTTTTCGGAGCAAACACAGTTCTCATTGGTTATTCTTTACATTTTTTGCGTTGCGCGTAAAATGATGAAAAATATGTGAAAAATGCGCTACAACAACATTTGAGGCACTCACGTAGGTGAAACACGGTCCGGTCTCGCTCTCAATAACGTTCTGGCTCTGGATGCCGGTTCCCGGTCTCAAACCACAATCTCAAAGTTCAAATCCCACAACGACGTCAACGCTGTGTTTAACCCGTGTGTGCGAGTTTACAAGTGTGTGTGTGTATGTGCGGACTGTGTGTGTATTTTTATACAAGACTTCAACGTTGTGTAACACTGTAACGTGCTAAATTTATTAATTTATTGCCACTGACTGCAAATAAACAAAAGCAACAACAACAACTACAAAGAGCAACATAACATCTACAATTTGTTATGCCCCAAAGGTGAGCCACAATCAGAATAAGTTTCTTTTCCTCTTTTTTTTTTATTTGCTTTTGCTTTCTAGTTGGAATAGCATTGAACAAAAAGCAAATGAAAGCTTCAGGAAATAGTAACTGATTCGTAAATGATTCGAGCAAAACTGCACAACTTCTTGAAGTTTCCTAAGCTTCATTTAGTGCTGCGTTAGTTGAACTTTTTATTTAAAGAAGAAATGGGCAAGAAATAAAAGTTTATTTGATGTATATTTTTATTCCGAGAAAGAGTTTGCGGAATTAAAAAACTTTATATTTATTATTTGATCTTAACTAAATTAATTTTTCTTATCTTATTTTTTTAAATTTACATTTATAAGAGGGTGTATGTTAAAAAGTTTACTTTACTGAAGTTATGGAAATCTTATTAAAATGAAATGCAAAAGTTGTTCAAAATCTATGTACCTAGAAAAGACTTTGAGAATGAGCTCAGAAATCAATCAATCAATCAATGCTAAAGCACATACAAAATCCTTTGAAATTTATAAATTATGATATGCAAAATAAAAATTTCCAAATAGTAATTAATGTGAATTTGAAAAATGTATTTATAAATTATAAATAATATTAGTTAAACAGTTTAATTCACAAGTTTTCAAGCAATAATTAACTTTTCAAAATCGTGCTAATTCCTAAATAAAATTCACCGTTTCTTAAGAATCATAAAATATCTGTATATAAAATTAGTAAGTCCTTTCAAAATTTGTCAATCGATTATGGTGAATTCAATATTATTCCTAATGGAATAAAATAATTACGTTGCAGCTAAATACCAGCTCCTGGAGATCTCTGTGTGTCTGTGTGCGTGTCAAAGTGCTTAAATTAGATGCCAGAAACAGTGCGTATGAGTGATAAACAATGAGTGTGATTAATCTAAGCTGAATTGATTTGCAGTCCGAAATAGAGACCAACTTGTCGTATGCGTAATATGCAAGAAATTAATTTGATTAAATAATCATGCACAATCATTTGACAATTTCAGGCAAATTGAAATCATTTGTAGTAGAAAGAGAAATCAGACAATGATTATAGAATAATGTGTAGATGGACATTTGGACTTGGAGATTTATAGAGTGCTGTAGAATACAGTAAGATGGAGAAGTAATATGTGGTAGATATATAAATATGTATTTATATAAATTTTAGCTAAGAAGTGATGGAATGAAAATAATAATTAAATTTCTGAAGTAATTGTTTATTATACATTTAAAAATAAGTATTAAAACTAACATGACATGAAATAAAATTAAATTTGCATAATAAAAATACTCGAATTATTCTAAATATTTTTATGTTTTTTCTTTATTTATATTTATATTTATTATTTGTTTTTAGGATATTTTTACAACTTTTCTTTATTATTCAAACTTGTTTCAAAATATTTTATAATTTTGTTGACCTCTTATCAAATTGTGAGTAACGCTGCAATTTAATTTTTATATAATATTTTTATTCATTTTTAATAAAAACTTGTCAGCTTCCTCCATAGTGTGATTCAATCGATGCTTGGATTTTTAATCCATTCCTCTGCAAATGCCAGAAAGATCTTACAGGCCTCTTTACAGGCCGCCAGACTCTCGTAGACCTTTGGAAAACAAATGTCGCCAGGTCGCAGAGGCTCACAGGCGCCGTCGCCATAAATGAACTTCATTACGTTTTTATCATAGTCATGACAGACAGCTGGACGTGCATCATCGACTTCCGTAAAGCAGAAGCATTCATTGCACTCATAGTGGCCAAACACTTGAAATTTTCCAAAAACAAAATAAAACCAAAATTTGAATTATTTCTATTTATTGCAGTAATTTTGTATTGTAATTCACCCCTGGGCAAAGCAAACAGCAGCAACACTCTGAACATATTCAAATAGGCAACTGAGCGAGCGTAAGAGATGCCAATTACAACTGCATATAATCCAATTAGTTATGCATATAATAGAAGCTTAAATGTTTGTGTTACAGAGAATTTAGTTAGAAAAGTTCCCTGTTGAACTGCAGGTGTTTCAAATCTCGTACTATTGCGATAAATAGAAAAATTAGACAAATTATTAGTTGTTAACTATTAAAATTCAAATTTTACATATCAAACACTTGTCATGGGAATGAAATCAATATGACAGCTTAACTAAAAGCATGGAGACTATTTAAATAGTGCTTTTCAGAGCTAAAAGTCTTCAAGCTGAAAGTCGTAAAGAAATCTGTATATGCATAAAGGAAAAGGCAAGCATTTTCTCAGATGAATGTAATGTAATAACAGTTTGTTTGAGCAAAAAAAAAAAAAAATAATAATAATAATAATGAAAAATACATTTTAAATTGATATTAAAATGCACAAGCAAGACAAAGGCTTATCATTTATAATAAAGTTTGTATTAGTTTCAGGCATTTTATTTACATCAAATATTAGTAAATCAATTTAAAAGCTAGATAAAGCACAGCTTTACCTTTATTAAATTTCATTTCATCTGTAAACTTACCGTGCTGATATGTTAGTTATATAGCTAACACGTTGTTTCTTTCGAAAAAATTACATTGCATAAAATGCACCGACTGAAGCTCCTGACCCAGTTTAAACTACAAAATATTTTTCTGTCCATTTGAAAAAGAAAACAAATGCGTTTACAGTTCATTTGATATCCTATATATATACCTATATATATATATATATATATATGCGTGTTTATACATATATATCAAATTTTTTTACACATATATTTATATAATTTGAATAGCCGCTCTTTGCTTTCGCATAGTTTTTTCCTATTATCCTCCCAGTGTTTGCTTTTCATTTTATTTTATTTTATTTTATTTATTTATTTATTTATTTATTTTTTGTATTTCGGGGTTAACCTGAAAATAATCAATTTATGCTTCAACAGCGTTTGGAATTGTTTTTGCTCGTTATATGTATAGCTTTCTATTATGCTCGAAACAAAGTTCATAGACTGAAAAATTTTTTACTTTACAATATTGGCACAGGGCTGCCAAAACGCCGTAAAAATAAAACTAGAAAATTTATCCGAATCTAAATTACCATGACACAATATACAAATTTATTGAACTCAAAAGAAATTGTTGTCAAAATGCTGATTGAACTTCACGAAGAAACCAAACGCTGCAATTTCGTTCCGCCCGGATCTAATAGTACGGACCGCAGCAGCCCCACTCCCAGCAGCAGGCGCACCTGTTGGCCACAAAATAAAATGGCGGATAGCAGCCGCACTGGCAGCACCCGCACCGATCCAGGCTGGGCAGCACTGGGCCACAGGGGCTGCTTGTCAGGCGATAGGAGACCATGCCGCAGGGCTTTTGGCCGCAGCTGCACGATCCGCTGGGACAGCAGCAGTTGCCACATGGCCCGCATGGTCCGCATAGTCCGCATGGTCCGCAGCAGCTGCCACAGGATCCACACGGACCACCCGAACCACACGGACCACATGACCCGCAAGGTCCACAAGGTCCGCAGCCAGGTCTGCATGTGTTGGGGCAAGGCATTAATAGGTATTCTTCTATATGCTTCTCTCTATCCCTCGATCTCTACACTTTTTGCTAATAAGCCACGCAAAAAATGTGCCAAATAGGCCAAGCAGTTGTGGCAACTGCCTTTGGTATTATTTAGCACCTTTTTTGGTCTCGATTGGCAAAACACTTGGATTTTGGGTACGATATTATTATTTTTTTTTCCAGCAATTCGAAAATTTATAGATATGACACCAGACACCTGACACTTGACACCAGGTTAACTTGAGCAAGACTTTCACCTGCCGCAGCCGCAGAGGTAGACGACAAACCTTAATAGCTGTCATCCGAAACCTCAAAAGCTGCAGGCAGTCAGCTAGGCAACCTCAAAAGCTGCTGCATTCGCTAGCAAACTGTTAAATTTGATTTAAATTTCTATTTGCCTTGCGGTCGCCTATTTGGCTGTGTCAAGACAACTGCCACGCCCTTAACTACTGTATCCACACCAGCCCTCCTAGGCCAACGGCAACCACACGAGTGGGTCGTGCGAGCCGCATTCAAAGGTGCCCAACTCGGTTTTGGGGCATGCCGCTGCGGTTGGTTGGGTCAGTGGGGCTAATGTAATTGATTGTCTGGGCTCGGCTGAGCACCACCTGAAAGTGCACTGCACGAGTGTAGTGCGAAAAAGAAGAAAAGAAGAAATGTAACATAGATTGTCTAGTGGTGGTTCTGAGTGCAGGTGCATGTGTGTGTGTGTGTGTGTGTGTTAGGGATTTTTGCATGCCAACTGCGTGCAGACTGCACAGTGGTTGCTAATCGATTTATTCAGAGCAGATTTTCATTGCTTCTAATATGAAGACGTATAGATAAGCGGCTAAAGGAGTCTTTAGATATAATATAATATCTATATTATTTTAATTAATATTAAAATTTTTTATATGCATCACAGTATTTTAGTTTAGTTCTAGAAACCATTTGTTTTTTTATTTTTATTTATTTATTTTTATTTATATTAAAGGAATATAAATGTTTAAACAATTCATTTTCTCAATTTTTATTTTTTATTTTTTAAATTCATTTAAATATTTACGTATTTTTAATAGTTAAATTTTTTTAAAGAAATTCATTAAAAATCATATTTTTTATATTGTTTTATTTGAATTAAATGTGATAGATATATAGTTTTACCTTTAAACTTTTAAATTTTAATAAAACAAAAAACAAAACAAAATTCAATAAAATAAATACAAAAAATAAATGAAATACAAATATAGCATGCCTCAAAATCATTTACATAAACCCAAAAAAAAAAATAAAAAAAAAAAAAAACTGCATCAAAAGAACTTGTGAGATTCCAAAGGCAATCAATCAATATCTCACAAGCTTCTTGAGCGCAAATCAACACTAAATAATCCTCAAATTTCTGCTCAATAATCTATAATTGCAACCACTGTGCGTATGGCTGTAGCTGTTGGATTAATTTCACTTTAGCTGCCACTGTTTTTAGCATATTTTTCCGTTTTTTTCCTCCGAGATTTTCGTGGATTTCAACAGGACTTGGCAAGATTTACGAAATGGTCTGTCCCAGCCTGTCCGGCCCTTTGCTGGCCCGGCCTGCCTGCTTCAGTGCTCGCTCGGCCGGATCGGCCTGCTCTCGACCTGTCGCTGAGATTTCAATTGTCCAAGTTGGCGGCGCTGGACATGTCAACAGCTGTCAGTCGGAGTTACGCTGCCGGCAACGGCAACGAGCTCTGTCTATGAAAATGGATGCTCATTCGTATTCCCCATTCGGTGCGGGCAACACCAAAACTTTAGCTAGACTCAAATTTTTTTCGGCACACGCTTTAGCTCCGTGTTCGTTAGCTTTTCAAACAAAATTTCCGAAAACGAAAAAAAATCGTCAGCTCTTAAGTTTCACAGCTTAAAATAATAACACGCGAGAATATCAACCAGACCAACGAGACTCCAGCAATTACAGAGATGTGCGGCGGTTGGGCGTGTGCTTCATATGCGATTGCCTGCAACACTCATCGTTTGTCCAATGTGCGGTATACGGGCCGCTGCTTTGCGCCCACGCCCTGCGGCATCTGTGACAATTGCTCCGCATGCGGCTGTGGCGGCGGCTGCTGCGGTGGCGGTTGCTGCGGTGGTTGCGGCTGGTAACAAATGTACAAGCTAACGCCAGAACTAACATGGACGGCTAGCCGCCAACTGATAACTGGGTAAGAAGATGCTCAACTCCTTTAGAGTGTGAATGAGAATACTACACATTCAATGCCCACACAGATGCTGTAAAAATTTGAACAAAGCTGGCCTTGAATTTATTGGAATATGATTCAAGTCAACAAAATGTTGTCAGGCCTACAAAAATGAGCAGTCTGGTCTTGTGTTGTGGGCCGAACGCTCACTTCAAAATTTTTAAGTTTCAAGAGTAAGCATATATAAATATATACATATAAAAAAAAGTGTTTATTCATAACACTTCCTTCACCCAGCTAGAACAAAAATCTATTGACCAGGATGTGTGGCGGCTGGGCTTGTGCCTCGTACTGTCTGGCATGTAATAATCCGCCCTTGTCCACTTTGCGGTTTACGGGTCGTGATTTTATACCCACGCCGTGTGGCCCGCACGACAAATGCTATGCCAAGGACACGAGCTGCAGTCGAGGCAATTGCATGCGTCACCAGAAGATCACAATTGAAGTGACGCCATGCATGGACCTGGCCACATTAACTAAGTCGAAGTCCGACCACTTCCAGCACGCCAAGGAAAATTGGCAAATGGTGTACGACAAAGTGAAGTGTACGTCGGAACTAGCTGCCAAAAAGGATTGATCAAACACACGCCACACATCCCAAGCAATAAACAATAGATTTCAATGTTTTATTATAGAATATAAGTAAAACATTTTAAAGCATGCGTGTTTCACTCTAATTTCAGTATTCTAGGAAAAACAAAGGATAATTTCAGTACAGCTCCATCTATATATTTTTATTCTAAATCTCTGAGATTTCCATGAAAAATTGCATATTTCTGTAATTCTATTTGTATGCATTCTTATAAATATTTGTAAAAATTTTTAAGATGATTCTAGATTTTCTTTATTTTATTTTATTTTATTTTTTTAATTTTATTTTTTAATACTAGTTGCTTTTATGAATTTACTTTATATATCAGTTATTTATATAAAAAAAATTTCACTACACATATTTACAAAATGGACATTTTTTATTAACAAAAAAAATAAATAAAAATGCAATTGTAAAACCTAATCATTTCTGCTTTCGAGCATGAAGAAATTACAACCGCACAAGTTACGTACTATAAAATATATAAAAAACATAGCCAACTTTTTTTTTCTTTTTTTTTTCTATTTATTGACGAAACATTGAACTTGTTAAAGTTTTACAATATGCCAAAAACTTGTTACAAACTTCCGTCGCCCTCTCACGCAAGCACAGGCAATAATTTGATGTGAACGATTCATTCGATTCGGGGTTAGATGGGGCCAGAAGCGGATTAGTAGAATGGTCCAAAACAACCACATTCACCGCAACAGCAGCATCTATTGGGCGGACAGGTCCAAGGACCACACGGCGGGCAAGGGCCGCAGCAGCAATTATTGTAGTTCATGGCAGGCAGAGCTGGACCAACCGGGCCATAGGCCAGAGCATAGGAAACGCTTCCACAGGGACCACAGCACATCTTCCTTCAAAAGAAAATTCAACTGAAACTATATCGGGGAAACAATTAAAGAATATATAAAGCCGGAAAAACAGCTTCGACCTACCCGAATAAAATTGCTTGCGTGAGTAAAACGACCGAAATTTTTAGTTTCGGATCGAAAAAGTTTTTCGATGGTGCTGTTAAGGCGAGAGACGAAAATGGAATAGCTTATGTAGCTAGCACATAGCTCAATCACACATTCCTATAAGGAGTTTCAATTCAATGCCAACCTGATTTCCGCTTAACACAAACCAAAAACTTACTAAAAAAAAAAAGAAAATATATATATATATTCTAAGAGCAAATGCAACGAAATATCGATCAAAAGTTTCACATGTCGAAGACCTTCCTTTTTTCGTTTTTTGCACAAATTTCACACATCAATGATTTAACACCGAGACAAGCGACAAATAAAAAAATTGAGAAAAAACAACAACAAAAGTGGGTAAAAAACATGACAGCAAAGAAATGTGGTAAAGTGTTGGCAGTTGAAATACCCTCTGGAAAATAAATAGAGAAAAAATAAATAGAAAAAGAATACTTAGACTGATAGTGATTGATACTTCTCTTAGAAATATGATATATACATAAATATAATAATTAATTAATGACTTGATTTGATTTGCTTAAATAATAAATTTTCTTAAAAATCTGCTCTTATGCAGAAATAACTTTTTGTCGTTAATCCATGGTTATACATATATATGTGAGCATATTATATATATATTATTTTTTTTTTATATTTATATAAAATGTTTTAAAAATTTATAAAACATTAATTACATATTAACTATTTTCATTTTTGTCATTTTTATATTACATATTTTTTTATATTATATATTATGTATTAGTTATTACATATTATTATATGTTATATGTTTAATATATTTTTTTTTTTTTTTTTTATACTTATATTGTAAAAGTAGATATAGTTTACAGTTACACTTTTCATATTATATTTTTCATATTATATCTTTATTATTATTATTACAAAACCACTCACTTAATTTTTATATATATATATTTTTTACTTATAGCATTCGAAAGCCAAAATACCCTTTTGTTTAGTATAGTGTATAGAAATTGAATTTCTCTAAACGAGAAAATGGCGCAACAGTTTCATCCCATGGCAAAAATAAGAAATCATTGAAACATGTCTGCGAAAAATAAAAGCAAGTAAAAAAGGCAAAGGCGAGCAGAGCAAGCTCTATAAAATGCCGGAGCAAAGTGGATGGCAAAAGGATTTCGCTTACCGTGCGCCTGCAGCTTAGTGAGCCACAGGACCTCGCCCTGAGGCGTCTCTAAAACTGGTTGAAACTGGGGCAAAGTCGAAGTCAACTCACACAGTTGGCTGCCATGAAAGTCTATTAGACTCAACGAAGCAACCTTAACGTCATTTCAGCTCGATGGGAGTTAATGTCTATGTGTGAGTGTCTGTGTGTGTGTGTGTGTGTGTGTGTGTGTGTGTGTGGACACGACAAGCTACCTAACTTGTCTGTGTGTGAGTGTGCGAGTGTCTGTGTGGGTATGTTGTGATTCACAAAAGCTGACAAGCTCATCGATGCCTGAACATTAGCTAAACATAAATTACACAGATGACTGCACAACAATTGAGGCGTTTATTATAATGTGTGTTCACACTTGAAGCTTTCCGTTGCGGAGCATAGGTAAATTAAGAGCGTGAAGGGTATGTGACGAAGTGAACGTGGGATGGAATGGGATGGGATGGAAAAGGATGGGAAAGGGAAAGTGCTACCCCAAAAATTGCAGACTACAGATAAAAAAATATTTTACTTTGCCTTCAATCAAAGAAAACAATATGTCTGGGCGCGTAGATAAGGTAAGGGCAGGTTTAAGTGGAAGAAACAGGCATTGCTATGAGGAGGAGTGGGGTTCGAAGAATGTTAATGTGTGTGTGGGAAAGTATAGTGAAAATATAAAACAATCGAATTTAATTCGAGGAACTAGTAGAGGTATTTAAAAATCAAAATTGGACCCTGCTCTTTTAATATTTAAAAATTAAATTTCACGAACTTTTTCTTTATTATTTAAAAATTCATATTTTTTTTATAATTTTATGACTTTATTTAATTAAGATTGTTTATATCGAAATCGCTTAAATGAATTATACAAATTTACTTTAAATACATTACGTTAATTTCAATGTTTGCAAGGCAGCGCTAATTTAAGACTTATATATAAAGAGAATTTTATGTACTTAGTCGGGAGATCAGCTGGGCTTCTTTACTGTTAATTCTTACGGATTAGTTCATTGATTAACAATGAACAATTTTATAAATATTTATTTACCTATTTTTTCTCAATTTTAAAACATTGTCAATCCTTACTAAATATTATAAATGTACTTATTTTCTAAATTTCTTTGAATCAAATCCCTATTTTGTACCTCTCTCTCTCTCTCTCTCTCTCTCTCTCTCTCTCTCTCTCTCATTCTCACTCTCACTCTTTTGTTGATTTTTTTGGTTTCGCTGCTGTCCGTAGAAAAATGGTTGCCCACTTAAGATAATCTCATTGGTGGCATGCCAAAAAGTTTGCGGCGCGCCGAGTGAAAACACACAAACCATATAAAAATGTCACCAAAGCGAAGAAAAATATACAACAACAAAAAATAATATGAGACCACAAAAAGGTAAATGAAATACCAGCAGAAGCAACAACTGCTGCTACTTCTCTAAAAGAAAAAGGTATTTCGTTTTAAATCAAATAGATGTACAAAAATTTGAGCTCAACTTTTTTCGTATTTGTTGCCTTTTTGCTCCCTCTGGTCGTGTTCTTCAGAAGTGGCCACAGAATCCGCAGCAGCAGCAGGAGCCGCAGGAGCCGCATGAGCCGCAGCATTTTGGACACTTCATTTCATAGCAGAAACATATTGAGCCACTGGTAGTTGAGTGTGCGCCAAGAGATAAGCGCAATTATAGGGATTCAAGTGGATACGACTGATGACCGCACACACACACAAACACAGACACCCACACACATACAGCTGTATAAATTAGGTAAAAATGGTAACTTATGTGACGTTTGGCTTCATCGAGACAAATGATTGGGGCAAAGCTTTAAGTGGACTCTCTCTCTCTCTTTCGCTCTATGGTCGAGTAGTTTAAATCTATATATATATACTACATACATATATATATACCTAGCGCTGCTATTGAAAAGGTATCCTTCCAAAATGCCTCTGAACTTTCTGCCATGTCACATTTGTCTTCAAGTGCTCGTTATGGGCAATTTTTGGCAACTGCCTTTGAGCTTTTGGCTTTTGTTTTCTCACCGCATGCTGTGAGTGTGCGTGTGTGTGTGTGTGGACGTAGTTTGTTGTGTGCGCTGCCTCAGATTCAAGTGCTCTTTGAGTTAGCCAGCGGCCATGTCGAGCCCTGAGCCATGTCAAGCAAATTATAGCCAAGAAGTGAAACGTTGACAAGTGCCCATTGAAAATGAGACACTCAAGCGCTCAATATTGTGGCTGAAATGTTACAGAGGACGGGCTCACGGTCTGTGACTGGATTAAGAAATTTAGGCAGAAAAATCGCCAGAAATGACCAACCCAAAAAAATAAATAAATAAATAAATAAATTAAGGCAATGGAATGAAACACGCGCCGCTTTTATTAAGTGAAAGTTTCAAGCACTTTGACTACGTAAAAAAAAGTTTTAGAGGGAAAAGTTATTGTTGAACTATTTTTAGCTTAAATATATTTGTATGATATGGTCATCCCATTGTATGATATGGTCATCCCATAATTATTTAACTATGGTAAATATTCATCAAATCAATTCAATAAAAATTTCGTATATTTATTGAAATTTTATATTATGATGTTTATACATATATTTTTTGTAAAATGTGTGTTATTATTATAATTTTTTTTCTATTTATTTCGTATTTTATTGAAACTATTATAAGCTGAACTAAATTAATATGATATGAAATATGTATATTATTTTCTATTTATTTTTTATTTTTATTGAAATCTCATAGTATCATGTTATTTAGTTATTAGTTATTATGTTATTTATTAAATCTATATTATTTTCTATTTATTATCTTTCACATATTTGAAGCACCCAGCTCAAAGAGCACTCACAGTTACCTCTAGCCGTAATCCTTTGACCACGTCAAATCCAGTTCATATTAGCTCAAGCGTTTTTCATTTTGATTTTATTTTTG